TAGATATAAATGCCTGAAACACATTCACACACACATAATTCTGTCCACTTGAGACTTTACATGGCAAATAAATCTCAAGAAAATTCAATCAAAAAACTAAGTGCCAGCAGTTCTGATTTTTTACCAATATTCTTTCTATAGACAAAGGAAACTTTTGTCATGTAAGAAGGTATTGCTTCAATTTAGTCTTTCAAGATGCCATTAACACTTTGGAGTTCCTCAAAGCCCTACAAACAAAAGAAGCTATAAAGCTTTGTCATTAGCCATCTAGTATTTATATAAGGAACAAATGTTTCAATTGGGGCTAAATGTTCAGTCCTTTAACTTCATTTTCTCATCAAATTTATGTCATGCAAGATATTCATTGAATCTTCATCTGAGAGAAAAGATCATTTTAATAAAACAAGAGGTTTAAGTATAACAAAAACTTCATATGACTCATCACATCTATAAGGCATTTTTAAAATATTAAAACTAAACAAAAGAAAAAGAAATTTGTATAATCTTGATAATTAAAGATCTGAAATCTCATTGGATGGAAGGGCTTACTTTTCTAAATGTAGACATCAACTCCTCTCTCCACTGATTAGGTTATCAACATAATATATTTAAAAATAAAGAACATGATAAAACAATAAAAGAATTGAAATCAAAAACTAAAGTAATCTGAGGAAAAAAAAAACTACAGCCAAAAGGTTTAGCTAGTAAATTGTAAAAATACTTGTAAAACCTAATTTTGTTTTTAGTCTGTTTTTTTCTTTCTTTCTTTGACACTTTTAAAAGACAGCGATGTAAGCATTCATAAGAGCAGTTTGAAGCCTTTTTTATATTCCTGTTTTGGATAGGTTAAGGCAAAATGATTAATGTGCAACGAACAATATTCGCCTGTAACAATAAAAAGATTTGATGATAAGCGAAAAAGCAATGGGCACCAACATAGTAAGCCAGTCTTAACATTTTTGTCATTTTCTCATGTAAATTCTGATGACAGCTGATGAAGGTATAAAGCCAGTGTTGAAAAGTGGTAAATGCTTTGTGGAGCTTTGCCTGATAGACAGCTGGGATATTCACTCACAGAACAGCAGAACACCATTTCCATAAGTCAACATGTCATTGTTGGTAGCATTTACTCACATGCCAAATTATATGACCAATGAAAGTAACAATAGAAGAGCTGATATTAAAAGAGAACGAGTCAATCTGCAAACTGTCCAATACCAGATGTTGCCACTTTCAATGTCGAGTTTGTCTGTGGCCAACCCAGGCCAAGTCATGCAAGCAAATGTGCAGCAGGCTATTTTACAGTATTTGGATCGTTTTCTATATGCTGGCTCTCTTTCCCTGACCCTTTTGCATTTGATGTCTTGTGAGTGTCAAATTCTCCAAGCCCTCTTTCCTCATTATATATCCAAGTAATTTCAGCTGCCTATTTCTTATTCTGAGTATAAATGTTCTTTCTGTTTTCATTTTCCTTAAGAAGTTATGCTTACTTGACCTCATCTATGGTATTCTCAGCATAGAACAACATCCCTTTACTACCAGCCTTCTCTGTGAGTAGATTGCCCACAGCCTCCACTGCCATACAAGACGATTGATATTTCATAGCAGTTCAGGTCTTCTTTTCTTTGTTTCTAACAAAATGTACCCATTTCTTGATAATCTGCTTAGCTTTTGGAAGGCATCTTTTGCTATTACAATCTATCCTCAAAAACAGCACGTTACTAGGCAGAGTATTAATCATTAGCAGAGAGTACATTAATATAAAGAAGATATGTCATATAGAAAGCTAAGTAAGAGTATTTACTTTGAAAGGAATGAGTAGTAAGGATTTCAAAAGGGTTAGGGTTTTCAGGTGGTAAGGATAGAGGAAGATACTTAATTATATTGACAAGGTAAAAATTCTAAAATCTATAGAATTATGCCAATGACAAAATAGCAATTTTCAAACCACAAAGACAGGATGTTTGGCATTTGAAAGAAATAGTTTTCTGCCCTTGTTACCAAACTGCTTGTCACCTAATGAAAGATTACAACAAGTGTCCATTCTGATCTAAAAGAGAATAAATATTAGAGAAAGATTTATTACAATTCGTGATATTTCCTGAACTATGAAATCTGTAATACAATAATCACAGTTGCTGATTTGAATGCCTCAAAAACTGGAATATTCACCTTTGTAAATATTAGTCTGGCATAAGGTGACAGGAGTGGAGTGCACAGTGATTAAAGATCTCACTATAATGAGAATAGTTTGTGATATTAACCTGTGTTAATTATTGCTAAACAAGTGCCTTTGTACTCACATCAGTACATTCATGTAGATATACGAGTTTTGCATAGAAAGACTTGAATAAACTAGTAATGCATATATATATATACATATATTAAAGAAAAACAAAAATTGTTGGTGTAACCAATGGATAACTTGCCAAAGCCTAAAACTTTTATCCGGATACGATCTCAAATAAAACCAACAATACTATAAAAAGAAAGAGAAAGAAAGGTCTAAAAACAAATTTACCTACTAGGTAAAGTGCTCAAAGCCCAGACTGTTTAGACCAAGCAAAAAAAATACTAACCAATGTTAAATCCTATAAAAGGATGGCTCTAGTTGTAACTCAAATTTCACACTCATACAATCTTCAAATAACTTATATAAAAGTGGACATTGAAGTCAACACCCAGAGATGATTACATTTCAGCATGCAACAGACTGTCACCTCTGGGTGTTGATTTCAATGTCCACTTTTATATTTACATATGCTCTATCCCTGATATTGAGCACTTTAACCCATAAGTATAACATACCTTAAAACTATATATATATATATATATATATATATATATGTGTGTGTGTGTGTGTATGTATGTATGTATGCTTTTGCGCATTTATGCAAACAGGCATGTATTTTTCACATACATACAACGCTATATAACACAGAGGTGTAGAGATGTTAATAAAGGTAGCTTGAAATCTGAAACTGTTCAAATTCAATCTAAGGTTGGGGAAGGGGACCCACCTGTTACCAGTAATTCAAATGCTATAAATTCAGGTAGCAATGTCTGAAAGTCTTCCCCACCCTGTTTGCCACTCAATTGGGGCCACTTTGCTGTAAAATAACACAAGTGAACACCAATTGAAGAAAAACAAATGTCAAGTATATGATTATGATAATGAACAGAAAAAAGACAAAAAAAAAAAAAAAAGAAAAATCTGTTCAACTTGCCACAATGCTATACACAGCTGCTTTAACTATGACCACACCTGTGTCATCAGTGGATTTATGCGCTTTTAACAATGATCACAAAACACAAGATGATAAAAAAAAAAAAAAAATAGAATTGTGCAAAGTTTTAAATGGAAACTAAAAACAAATTAATTCAATTGTTTTATGATTGCAAACTTTCTAATATAGACAATGTCATTCATTTATAATTAAAACTCTTCCTTAAATCTGTTTCTCATTATATTATTTTTATTTGGTCAAATCAAATACTTAGAATACTATCATCCAGCTGGTTATTTATATCGAGGCCAATATGAAAATGGTTTAATATTTACAATATGTAAAGATTTTATATGTTTTTCAGTTACATAATGACACAAAGCAAATAGAGGAAAGTGAAAAGAAAGGAAAAAATATATTCCTAACGTTTTTTTTTTTTATTTCTTACATGAAATATCAATTTTTGAGAATTATTTCATACAATTTTGTCTGAATTTTTTCAGATGATGAAATGGCATCATTAATTTTCTAATAGGATTTCAACCTTGTTATTTCTCTTGCTTTTTGTCAAAACTTCAAAGTCAATATTTGGTCATCATTAGGTATGTCTTCTTATGCCAGTATTTCATTAATTATGTTATGAAACTTAAACCAGTTGAAGTCATTCAAGATTAACCATATGACTAGATTGTTTTCTTTTTTCAGAACACCAGTAAGGCACTGTTGCAAAAAGACATTTTGATAATTTACTGTCACTGAAATGCACAGTTATAAAAAGATAGGCTTCCAAGAGCATGAAATGTAAGTTCAATTCTTACCAGAAGATGATTCATTATTTATGATCCATACTGTTTGCATAATGGATCAGACGATACTGAGCTTGGAAGCGCAATAAAAAACGTAGTTAAAAGATCAAAGACAGATTAATAATAAAAGCAGCATGCAAAAGGACATTTATTAATTCCAGAAAAAAAATATCAATAAAGGAAACACGAGACTCAGACATTTTAGACAAATATCTTGTTTATTACTATTCCATATTCTATGGCAAAATTCACTTAAATTCTATGAATTCAGAAGAAAGTATTCTTCAAACAAGATCTCAATGTACCATGGGAACATGCTATATCATGTAGCAACAGCTATACAATCTCTTCAGAGGAGCAACCAAGAGTCAAGTGGAAATTTAATCTCCAGAATCCTGTAGCAACTCATTTATATTTTGTTTTTTCTCCACATGCCATAATAATGAGATTTTTGCCTGACTCTTGATAAAAGTTATTTGTTTAAAGAAATTCCCATTTCATACGCTCAGATAATTACATCACAGTGTCTTTACAGGAAAAAGAAAGAGAGTAAACAGTGTCTGTGCATATGAGAGAGAAAGAGAGTAAATAAAATGAAGAAGAGGAAGAAAACTTCCTACATAATTAGAAAATGAGAAGAAAAAAAAAAAGAGGCTGCAAAGAAAGAAACAAGTTTGGCAAAATGAATTGTCTTTTAGGAATGAAAAAATACAAGACACAAACAATATTGTATGCAGATAAATGAAGTACAGCCATTAGGTGGTCATTTACTCTTTAAAGGATAATTCATTGAAAAAAGGTTGGTAAAGTACTGATTGAAAGACTCATTGGCAGATGCAAAGCTCTCTGTGAAAAGTAATCCATTAGTTACCAGACTGGAGATAGAAAGGTGTGTAGAAATTAACTCCTTTACTAGGTGTGTATACACACACATGTGCAAGAAAGAGGTGTATTGGATGGCCAAACATCAGATGAAAACAAAAAAGGCAAGTGTACCAAGAAGAGGGAGAGAGAGGCACAAAGAGAGAGAGAGGGGGGGGGAAAGAGAGAGAGAGAGGGGAGGCACAAAGAGAGAGAGAGAGGGGGGAGGCACAAAAGAGAGAGAGAGAGGGGGAGGCACAAGAGAGGGAGAGGGGAGGCACAAAGAGAGGAGAGGGGAGGCACAAAGAGAGGGAGAGGGGGGAGGCACAAAGAGAGGGAGAGGGGGAGGCACAAAGAGAGAGGATAAAGGATTATAGTATCGAATTAGAAAAAGTGGAAGAAAGAAAGAAAAATACTTTCAAAAGAGAGAAGAAAAAAGAAAGATTGGTAACATGCTACAATAGAAGAGAACAAAAAGGTCAGTTGGTGGTGTGGTGGTGGGGAGGTAATGGTTAGAAATAAGATGAGAAGAAGGAAGAAAAAAGAGAGAAAAAGTGAGTAAAATAAAGAGAAATTGAAGAAAAAAAAAAGGAAGGAATGAAGGTGGGAAAATCAAATTTGTTGGCAATTCTATTCCACCATCCACTCAAGAGATGTGAACATTGATCGTCAAGCGTGTAGATGAAGCCAGACAATCAGATATAGATGTCTCAGTGGGTCGGAGAATTCCCTGACCAGTTGCCACCTTATTGAGGTAAACCCGCTTACGGCTAATATTATCAGAGCAAGCAATTTCCCCTAGGGCAGAATATTGTTATTAATACCAGCCACAACACTGCACCTCCCTTGGGCCTCACTATAACCCATTTAGCGCCACTGTGTATCACTGACAAGAAACTGGTTTTCTACTGCTTCAATTGTCTGCTCAATTGAAGATAGCATCATTTGGAGTTTTTCTTTGTCTTCATCTTAGTGCCACAAATGTCAAGAATTAGTTTCACCAAAGAGACAACAGATAAATATTGTGTGTGTGTGTGCGCGTGTGTGTCGGTACTTCTTCTGTTTTGTTGTAAAGTCTAACTGCATACATCTACTTTTGATAATTGAGAGGGAGACAGAAAATACTTTGAAAGGTTCATGGTTATGGACAAAAGACTTGTAAAATACAGAATCTGAGAGAAGATGAATTAGACTAAAACTGAGGCATTTTTGTAATAGTTTCAGTTTGTATAAATTTTAGTAGACTTTTTTTTATTTTTTTTATTTTAATTCTCCAAGCATAAGTGTCTGCTGTCAGTTATGTCAGGCAAAAAAAAAAAAAGGATCTATTCAGAATATATCTTAATGTCAAACCCTGTTACATAAGCATCAGTAGATTATTTTAGTTCATATGAAGGTAAATTCTGGGCAATAGAAAAACAATTATACTGCTATATTATTATTTCTTACAAAATTCACAAAGTGGAAATTTTGTCATGAGAAAAAGCAGCTCATTTTTCTTAAATAGCTAAATTATTCTTTTGTTTACTGCATCTAAAATTTCTAAATTATTTGAGTATGAATATATTTAATTATGATGATTTTATGAAAATCAAGAAGGTCTACCATTTGTTTGTGCATTGAATACTGCTGCTCTGGTCTGGTACTCCTGCTATTCATCTCAAAGTTCTTGACAAAATCCAAAGAAGGATCTGTAATGTAATCAGTTCTGACCTGGCATCTCAGTCACTTTCTCACCGACATGGTGTGACTTCCCTCTGTCTTTTCTACAAATGTTTTCACGGCAACTGCTCTGATGAGCTTTTTCCCCCCACCTCTGGTGCCCACAAATAGATGAATTTAAGAATGATTTTAAATTGTAAGGAGGCACGGTGGTGTAATGGATAGTGGCCTGGATTGAGGAATCAGAGAGCCAAGTTCAAATTCCAGTTGAATCCATTACATTTACTTAGGTGCTAATACCCATTGGGAAAGGTATCAATCCTCTTCTTCTCCCTCCAGCTATGGATAAATAGCAGGACAGATTGGGTTCTATAGTCTTGGATGGCAACTGGTCTACTGCAGAAAGAAATGGCAACCTACAGCAGGAAAAAAAATCTGTTTTGTCAGTCATGTATCGAAAGATACATGATCACCTAAGCATGTATCATGCATGGCACATAAGTGACTGACAAGATTAGCATCTAGGCCCCACCCATTTACTATTGAAATAGTTAAATGTAACTGTCACTTCTATTCCAACAGTTTTTTTTTCTCACACTTCCCACCTGTGGAACTCTCTTTTGCTTACTTGCTTCCCTGATAACTACAACCTACCAAAATTTAAATTCCAGTTAATCACCATCTTCTGTCTTTTTGAATCTCGTTCATCTTTTGTCCTTTTCTCAATCCTCTTTATATTCAGTCATTTCTTTCACTGTAACTTCCTGTATACTAGTGGCATTTTTGCCATGCTTAGGGTGAAATGAATGAAAAAATCAAAACAAAAGCAAGAAAAGTGGTTACAAGTCTCAAAGCAGCCATTGAAGACAAAAAGTCAGAACAAATAATCAGTAAGAGCAAAACATAAGAAAATGCAACTATAAATTTGAATGAAAATGGTTAACAAATCATTTTTCATTTCTCTCTCAATATGTTTTATGAAGTGTATGCCAAATATTAATCCTGTCCTTCATACAGATGGAAAAGCTATTATGATACAAATATCTGTATGCTTTTATCTACACACAAATCAATATTTGTGCAGCTCAATAAACTTAATATTCAAATCTTTTTTTTATTGCTCTATATCAAAATATAAAACAAACATTAATTTCTGATTGGTGACAGACAATTGTCAATCAAGTGTTTAAGGCAAAATAACTAATCTGATTTATTTCAGTCAAAACACAGAAACGTATCAAAATTCAAAATTGGAAGAAACCTTTTTTGGGAGGTGGGGGGAGTGAAGAATTATTGAAATACAACAAAACCATTTGTGTTAAATAAAAGAAAATAAAAAATTGATAATATTAAATAAGTTTACTAATTTAAGAATTCTCTGATTTACATGGAAACATTAAAAAAAAGAAAACTTGAATACATATAATATTTTTAAGTTTTTAAAAGAAAAACCAATTTCTTTTCATTGAAAGTAACTTGAAAACAAAAAAAGAAGCAATTTCTCATTCTGTGTTAAAGTTTTTGTCTAAGTAATTATGAATAACAACAAATTAAAATGATTCAGCAAAATAAATGGGAGGGGGGAGAAATCAATCAGTAAATGGTGGGGAATCAGCAGAGCATGAGAGAGGAGGGGAGAGAGAGAGAAGTCGGCCAAATAGTGTGTGGGGGCATGAAGAGATTTTAGCCAGCAAAGTGAGAAGGAAGAAAAGTCAGTCAGCAAAGTGGAGAAAAACAAATCAGCAGACTTGGTGGGGGGAGAAAAGTAGGTCAGCAGATTTGGGGAGGAAGAAAAGTTAGTCAGGAAACTTGAAGGTTTAGAAAAGTCAGTCAGCATAGTTTTTTGCGGGGGAGGAGAAAAGTCAATCAGCAGAGTTGGAGGGGAAAGAGAAGCCAGTCAGAAGAATGGGGGGAAAGAGAAGTCGGTCAGCAAAGTGGGGGTGAAGAGAAATTAATAAACAAAATAAGGAAGAAAGAGAAGTCAGTCAACAGAATGGGGGGGTGAGAAGTCAGTCAACAGAATGGAGGGGGATGAGAAGTCAGTCAACAGAATGGAGGGGGTGAGAAGTCAGTCAACAGAATGGAGGGGGGGTGAGAAGTCAGTCAACAGAATGGAGGGGGGTGAGAAGTCAGTCAACAGAATGGAGGGGGGTGAGAAGTCAGTCAATAGAGTGGGGGGGTTGAAATCAGCAAAAAAAAAAAAAAACAGAGAGAAGATGATAAAAGGTGAGAAAAACCAAACAGTTAATAAAAAGGAAAATTGCTTTGAATTCCCAGAAGCTAAAATGTGAAAAACACAATTTTATTTGCTCGGCTAATTTCAATTTTTGTTCAACACAGGAACATTTCACTGAACATTTATGAAACTAATTAGAAAATTAAAATAAAGGAAAAAAATAATTAAGAAACTAATTTTCTTTTCCTTTTGTTGCAAATCTTGCTTTCTTTGCAAAAGAAATGAAAAGGAAAGAATTGTTGATAAAGAGTTGAACGTGAAAAGAAACAAAAATTGTTGAAATCAGTTTTACAGTTTTCATGGGATTCATTTCTCACATTGTAATCTGTCAGACAACAACAAGTTTAATGTAAGTAGTGAGATGTTAATAGAGCAATTTATGACATGATGGCTTATCAAAATCATCCAGAAGGAAAGAGGGGATGAAAGAGCTGTCAAAAAATTAGTCTTGGTGTTAATGGCAGCAAACAGATTGAATGCAGTTTGAGGATGAGACACAAAATTATGCCCATGGCAGAAGTCCAAAAAGAAAGAGATGACACCCCGTACCCCTTACTTGAGAAAGAAAGTAACAAACTGAGAGTGGGGGGGGGTGAGAAGAGAGAGAGAGAGAGAGATGGAGAAGAACAAGAAATGAAAGGGAATATCAAGAAGTAAAGATAAAATGGACAAACAGAATATTACTGATGCAGAGAGAGAGAGAGAGAGAGAAAGTGAGAATAAAAAGTATTAAAGAAAAAGAACTGAGAGACTGAGAAAATAGAAGACAAAAAGTTAAAGGGGGGAAGTATTATGATAAAGGGGGAAGTATTAAGAAAGCAGAGCTGGGAGAGAGGAGGGAGAAGAAGAATTATAGAGTTTGTACAGAAAAATTTGTTGGAGGAATTATGTTTTTTTACAAAATGATTCTGCTGTTAAAACAGAACGTTTGGTAATCCAATTCTTCAAATATGATTTATAACCCCCCCCTCCAACTGAGAACAATATTCTAAAAACATTAACCCTATGGAATATTTTGTAATAATTACAAAATCAGGCCAACCCTAACCTAACAAACCAATCATACAATTGCAAAAGTCAATTTCTGTTGGTGTAAAGAAAATTCAACCCTCCAAGGGAGATTATTTGTCAAATGGTAATTTTCTTTGCAACTTAAACAGAAGAACTTTATTCAAGAAGCTCTAATATGGAAACCATCTCCCCCCCCCCACTCAGTGTTTAATGAAATACATTTATTTTATACTTTAAAATCACTAGAGAGAAATTTACTTGACTTTTATTTCCCAATTAACCTTATTATTATAATCTTTTATTTATTCTTATCTGACAATTATGTGCATTAAAAATGCAAGTACAAAATTAAAGCCTTAAAAAATAAAATAGCCCAAGTTAAAGGACTGTAATTTATTTTAACTTTTCATAAAAAAGCTTCTATAGCGATTTTACAGAAAGACTGAAGGTTACCTGGATTGACAGGTACTTGAAGAAGGTAAAAGAGCACATTGGCTGAAATATCACAGTAGTAGCAACAAAGCTACAATTCAGACAGAAAACTTTTTGTATGTAAAATAAGAGAAAGAAGGTCAGAGGGGGGCATTAAGTGAAAAGATAGTGGAAGAAAGACAAAAGCTATTTTGATCATTCAAAATAAAGATGCAACGGGGTCACAAAAACAAATAATTAAAAGTGAAATTAATTTATTTATGGGTTCTTTTATGTTTCCTTAGTTTTTTGGGGTTTTTTTTCACTAAAAGGGATAAAAAAAAAAGATTTGCATCAAAATTCCATTGAGTTTATTTTGTATGACATTAACATCCATTTGTGAAAAATGTGTGGTAGAAAGAAAAAAAAAAACACATGGTTCAGAAGGATGAGTGACATGTATAAGGACTTCAAAGAGGTTATACTTCTGACGTTACAGTAATCAGTTTTAAATTTATAGTTTAAACATTTTTTTTTTCATTGCATAAACTTTTGAGATGAAGAATTATTATTGTTATATCTCAATTTTCTTTGGACTAGTTTTCATGTTGGGTGTTATAATAAAAATGTTTCGACTGTCAGTTATATAGTTGGTAACTTTCCAATAATTTTGAACAAAGTACTTTATTCACTTTATACAGATAGACTCTTCTTGTTCCCATGTCCATGCTATAAAAATGGACCATTTCAGTTAATTTGTCCTTATGTCATCTGTCACATACTCATAATCAGCGGAAAAGATAAACATGAGACAACCAGATTTCTCAACTTTCTATATAAAACACTTCTGACTATTTACATTTAATATTACTGAGTCAAGCTGCTAAGAACAAGTACTAATAGTCTATGGTGTCTGGGTAAACATTAGCCTACCAAAAACATTAACTTTGCACATGAGACATGGATGAGTTTTTGTAGCCATTTTTTTTTCTAGTGTGATCTTATGCATCATAAAACACAGTATTTTTTTTTATCTAGGATTTCTTTCTCCTACACAAATAAATAAAGAGAATGGCTTATTAAAAAAAATTACATTTTCAGAACCTGTTCTCTTCAGTCAAAATGTTGAATGAAATGTACATTGTCAAAGAGAGAGAGAGAGAAAAGAAAAGCTATTTTGGGGAGAAGATGAGAAAACTAAAGATGGAAGGTGAGAGAAAGAAGTTAAAAGACTACATTAGAAAAAAAGTGTGTGTGTGTGTGGGGGGGGTGTTCTTTCATGATTTTGCAGGCATATGCACGCCAGATGGTTCAGATTTAACTTGGAATGCATGAATGTGCAAGAAGAAACGTTTGGAGGAAACTCCCGTAACCGTATGAAAACATTTTCTTGTGTGGGTTAGATCTTCAGGTATGCAAGCAAGCTAACAAAAATATTCTCTTTTTTTCATTAAACGAATACAAGAAAGTTGTGAGACATAAAAATTAATCCTGCTTCTTAATTTTGCAACAGCAAGACAGTAACTATATGTAGACAAGAGTATAACAAAAGATCTATATAAGAACACAACATTATAATAATATTAGAAAATAATATTCAAAGTAATAAATTGATTGTATCTTGTCACAATGGAGCCAGTGAGGAACATAGTGTAAGATGAAATGTGAAAACTAATCTATTAAAGGCAAAATAAACACAATTTAAAAAATATATCTTTAAGCTGAATAATTCAAAGGGACGACTGAGTCAATATTAAAAATGTGGCCAACTCAAAAAAAATAAAATAAAAAATAAAATGCATATAAACACTTCAGGTCAAAAGGAAGAAAAGATATTAATATTTCAATATGTTTTACCAATAAATTACCATAAATAAAGTCTAGGAACATTTTAATGGTTTAGTTTCCTCCTTTGCCTTGTCAAATTCATTTTCAGAAAAAAAGATACTGTCCAATTTGTTTTGCAAAGACCATTTGTTTTTTTAATCAGTGGGGAGCAAGATCTATACCAATGTCCTTGTGCCAGCAAAAGGCCATAGTTACCGATGCCTGTCCTCCCCAAATCTTTGTGCCTCTGTTTTACATATTTGTTCTGGTTAATTATTGTGGTTGTTCGGCCTCTAGTTGAGTGATGGAGGAAATAGCAAGAAACTGACAACAATTACAGTGATGTCATTGTAATCAGTTCCTGCACCCCCCCAACCAACCACCCTTATAGAATTACAAATGATAGTTGGGGATACAGGAAAAAAAATCTGACTTTATACTGCACCTCACCCAACATCCCTACTTCTTGACTTCTTTCATCAAGTGCTACTGAACAAGGGACAGGTGGGGAGAGGGAAAGTAATAGCAAATGACAAAACCCCCAGTGTCCCAGCTCTGCACTCACCATCAATTTCATTGTCACAGAGGGACTTGTTATCCAAGACATGAGCTGTCACAGACACACTCTTGGGTCATCCTGGCTGCAGGCCACTAACCACTGCCTCTGGTTGGTTGACCAGCTTTGTGGAAATTTACCCGAACCTCCTGGGCTGCTCTTATTCACGAGTTCGTGACATCTGTAGGGAATCACAACATGACCCTTTCACAAAACAAGAAGTAACTTTTATTTCTTCTTCTTCTTTCGTTGTCCCCCCCCCCCCCCGAGGAGGTTTCTTATTCAAAACCTTGCTTACTGAATTTTTAGCAAGAAGCAACGAATAAAAAAAAAAAAAAAAAAAAAGCCTCAAAAGAAAATCAACACAACTTTTGAGAGTTATCTTCTCTTGCTAAGATTAATATAATTTTCAAACATACTCATGTATAAAATGATCAACATTAAGAATTCCACGTTGAGGAAAAACCGTTTTAGATTTATATTTGAGTTGAAAAGATTTACACCAACACACTTGAGGTTTACATTTTACAAATATGTATTAGAATTAAATGGAAAGACATGCACTTTTCAAGAAAAGAAAATCTAAAATAAGTCATATTATATATATATATATATATATATATAGAGAGAGAGAGAGAGAGAGAGAGTGAGTTTGAAGTTGCTATATTTATAGAGGTAGAACAGTCAATATTATAAATACTGTATTTAGAGATATAGTCAATGTGGACATAAGTATTAATATTAATAGGTAATAGTCTGTTTCAAGCCTCAGTGCCAACTTTAGATCAAGTGTTAGTACCTGTTTAGCAGGCTGTGCAAGGTGTGATGAATAAATTGTCATCTAAATTATGCAAAATTGAAAATAACACTGACATGTCATTTTAACAAACATATTTACCAAAATCACACAAAAATATCTTGAAATACTAAAGAGTAAATTTATTCAATAAAATTGTCATCGCCATTTCCACAGCCTCAAGATGACTTTGGAATCTCCTGCATCTCTTCTTGGTGAATTCTGCCATAATTCTTGCCTTCAGCTCATCTTTGGTGTTACAAAGAGTTTTGTTGGCTTCTCGCTCAACTGCACCCCACACATAATAATCAAGGGGTACACAGTCTGAGGAGTTAGGTGGCCAGATGTAAGTGGTGATGTGGTTGCAGAAATTGTCTGACAGCTATTACTGAGATTTCTTGCTTGTGTGGCAGGGTTGCAGAGTCCTGTTGCCAGGCATAGGGTCTTACAGCACTACCCCACACCCCAAGGCACTTGATGTAGGCTTCTGTGTTAAGTCAGGGACCCTCACCAACAAATTCTAGAGTTCTTTTCATATCACAATGACCAGAGTGAGTTTTCCAAGCTGCTGTACCTTCATAATCACCATTAGACTCATCCAATTCTTTCTGAATGCTCTGCAGTGTCCTCAGATTGATACCAAAACACACAGAAATGTTCATATTGGACCTTCTGATGCAAATGCTAAACAGTACAGCATGCAGTTTCCAAATTTCTGACAGAGTGAATTGCACCATGGTGCTCTTTTTCTCACAGATGGTGCCAAATCGACTCTACTATAGAGTGAAGTCAACAAACTCAAAAACAAACAATGTGTATGTCTGAAATTAAAAATATAGAATGGCAACAATATTGCACCTTGCATATAGAGGTTACTGAGCAATTAAGGAGGGAACCTGTCTTTTCAAGAACTGCTGAAGGAATAGTGGTAATTTATCAGGAAATAGCACTATGGCTTGAAACTGACGGTCATCATGCAGTGTTAATTCCCACGTCTACAGTGTGCATGTGTGTGCATAAGGTCATCTCATAAATAATGTCTGAAATCTCATAGTGTAAAACTGAATATTTTCACATATCAAGAATGCTTGAATGATAACAGTACATGCTCACATGTGCTTGCCCAAATTTAAGCAATGTGCCTATTTACATAGGTATGAGTAAACTTAGTTATTTACTTGACAACACCCCCCACCTCTACCCTTAAAGACAGGCATATCTCCACCAGAACACACACTTTATATATAAGTGAACATTGAAGTCAACACTCAGGGGTGACAGGCTGTTTCATGCTAGATGCAATCATCAGTTTGCCTGACAATTACATTTAGCATGAAACAGCCTGTCGCCTCTGAGTGTTGACTTCAATGTTCACTTTTATATTTATATTTACATATGCTCTATCTCTGATATTGAGCACTTTATCCCATAAATATAGCACACCCTAAAATTATATTTCTTCATCATACATATATATATATATATATATATTATGTAATGCCTTTCGAGTTTAGAAAAAGCAATAATAGTGTGAAAGCAATACAAAATATTCTTTAAAAAAGATTCTTTAACTGAAAAACAAATTGTCAAAGATGGTTTGAATGTTTTGAAAAGGGATTTCAGAAAAACACTATTCTGTTGAGTTTAACAGTGATCTGCTATCGTTTTTAATCTTATAGACATGGTTTGGTTAGGGTTGGAGGATGAGCTCAAAATCTGAGTTAAAGTCATTCAACAGTTGACTGTCATCTGCAACAACATGGAAACCTGGAAGAGGAGTTCCCTATGATTTGATAATAAAAGTAAACTTGAAGAGGAAATAATTATATAATCAAGATGTTGATATTCTACATTACTTGAAACAAAAGGTTAGGAAGGAAACCTCCATCAATACTGGAAAGAGTATAACAGCTACATAACTTGAGAAACCTAATTTCATGAAAAATTATTTTAAGAGAAAGATTTTATAAATTTCAACCAAAAGCAGAGCAGACTTTTCAGTCAATGAATATCAATGTTTCCTTATAAGGTAATGCCTAATATTACCATTATCATTTCTTCCAAAAGATTTGAACAAAAATCGTATTACAAACTTTGTAACTCATTGGCAAAAGCTTATTGAGAATGATAGAACTAACGTTAATAAATTCAATCTTAACATTAATTTTTAAAATATTTTCTCCGAATCTAAATGTAGACATTATTTATAAACGTGCATTTATAAATTTGAATGTTGCATCAATAAAACTGAAAAGGAAATAGATTTCACATAAAAACCAATGAGAAAACAAATTACTGACTTTTAAGTACATTTAAGTACATAGACAAAAGAAATTTTAAAATGACCCATCAGAACTGGAGATAAAAATATATGGAGCAAGCAGGATGCTTACTCTCCACTGTAGGATAGTCTCCATTATGGAGAGCAGTGATCAAACCATCACATCAATGTCTACATTTCAAACAATGAAAGTATTTATAAACTCAGGAATTATAAGAATTTCTCATAAATTGCCAGAGAATCTCCTGCTCTTTTACCATTCCTAAATGCTGAAAACAGTGTCTCAATAAGAGGAAGGAATTTATAACATAAAAGCTTGAAAATTTCAATAATAATCTGAAACTTACCTGGTCACCACTTTCACTATCACTCTGTAAAAAAGGGAAAAAAAAAACTGATTAAAACCAAAAGCAATATTTGTGAAAGAATGAATGGAAAACATATGGTAACAAAAGAGACAAAGTTAAAATGGCACTCATGATGAATATCTGGTTAGAAATTCAATTTGGTTTGTGAATTTTAGAAAATTTAATGTAAGTGACAAAAGATTAATCATCAAAGTGATCATCAACTGAAACAAATCAATTGCAAAAGAAATGTGAGAAGAAATGATTGCTCAAAAGCACTGCCCACTGTTTTGCCTACACTATACCTGCAACAAGGCTTCTAGAATACTGGTTTACATAAAGCTGAGCATATACATGATCCCAATAGAAGACAATTTTACAAAGGATGAT